TTTGGTACCATTTCCATTTATATCACCTTTTGTCATTTTGCCAAATGAACCTTTTGTTTGCCGCTGCAACGACATTCCATTCCGGACTAAGGCTGCAACAATTTGCCTGACAATTGTTTAATTATGCAGGACAAACATTAAGCAAAGTGCTGGCGGCAATGGAGATGAAAAGAATGCGGCTGAGGCAGAGGGCAGGTGGCAGGAGCTGCAAGTGAACTTTGCATAGTTTCCCCAGGCATTTGGCAACAAAGAGAAAAGGTAAATAACACTTTTGGCTGGCCTCCGGCGAGACACAGAAGCAGACGACCCGTTCCTCATGCCATCATCAGCAAACGGTTGCTCCAACGGTTGCTCCAACGGTTGCAGGCCCCCCTGCACTATATTGCACCAGGCCAAAAGAAAACTTTTCACCAAGCAACTTGCTCAGATTTATTTCAATGCTGCCACAGCCCAAGGCAACGGCAATGGCAAAAGCAAAAGCAAAGACTTTGTGAGAGCAAGGGGTTGAGGCTGAGACAGAGACATAGACTAAGATTGGGGAAAACTATGTCAGTTGCCAGGTTTTCCCACTGCTTTTGCACATTCTTCTTCGCCTCCATCTTCATCTGCTGCTTCCACTTCCACCTCTTCCTTCCATTCAAGTTAAGCGCAAAGAAAAACACATAATAAGTAAAGTGTTTGGGGGAAGGAAGCGGAAATTTATGTTATTTCGCCAAGTGGTTGCATACAAAAAAAAGAAAGAAAAGAAACACTACAATAGCACCCAAAGATATCAAACTGCTAGTCAAATACAAGGCAACGAAGTCTTTAATACCCTATCGAAGAGTTGAGGTGAGAAAGCATTAAACTGAAGCTTTCACAGATAAAGCGATTCCAAGTCGGTTTTAAATTTGAAAAACTTATCTCGAAATAATTTTATCATCTATGTACATGTGCATATGTACACCCCAATGAATCAGAAAATACTTCTGTCAGTGCATGGCTATCATCTCATGGCAAAAAGGGTAAATAAATACAGAAAATAAAGAAGAAACTTTGGCAGTGAGGCCAAGTTATTTATTTAGCTAAAAATTTACTTAAAGTTGCACTCGTTGTTTGCTGTTCGTGTTCGTTGTTGTACATTCAATCTGCAACAGGAGCAGCAGCAGCCGTAGCAGAAGCTGAGGCATCAGTCCCTTGGCTTACGTTCAACTAATTTGCATGCAACATGACAACAAAATTGAGTCGCTATGACTACTGCTTATAAATTATGCTCTTTGCTCTTCCCCCACTTTCAATCCCAGTGCTTCCCATATAATGCTCTCTCTTTTTCTGAAGCCCATCAGATATTCAAAATTAAATTCAACGCCCTAATACGAGTATACTCGTAGCAACAAAATTTTGCATTGCCAGTGGGAGTTTTTCCATTTTTGGTTTTTTTTTTGGATTTTTATTTTGGCAGCATACAAAAGAATTGACTTTTAATTAGGCAACTGTCAACAGTTTTTGAGCAAGTTGCCTCTCAAATTCCGCGGCTCACAAACTTCTATCAAAATCTCATTAGCACAACGCATGGCACGAGACCACAAAATGGCTTCCCCTCTCTCTCTCTCTCTCTCACTGTTCACTGTTCTGTGTGTCTGTGTGGGTGTGTTTGTGTTTTTGGGAATCGCAACGGTTCACGCTGCGTGGTTTCCGTTTCGCTGTGTGTATTTATTTGCCCCAAAAACGCCGAAGTGCCGGAACTAGGGGAAAAAAAACTTTTTATAATTAGTTTGCCTGCCATTTTATTGTTTAAACATCCACAGCTCACTCACTCCTCCACTCTCTCTCTCTCTCTCTGTCTGCTTTTCTATCTCTTTCCCTGACACATGCTCTACACCTACACACTCCTGTAATTGTGATTCCAATTGTAAAGAGGAAACTTTGACCAGGTGCCAGCTACAATATTGCATTACATTTCTCTTTCAGTTTTGTGTTGCTAAATATGTTCAGAAATTGCTTTGTTTTTGTGGCAGGCAGAACGGCTGCAGCTTGCAGCTCAGGTTGGACTGATATTGAAAGCTTATAATTAACAGTGGCCCGTCAGGAAATGCTACTGATGGATGAGCCAGGTTGGGGCATATATACGTATTACAATGCTTCTGTTATTTTCTTGGCTAGCTCTCTGAGAGCCCTTCTTCGGGCTTATGTATTGGATTTCATTGGTAAATTTTATATGCTGTATTCTTAGGGTAGAATTTTAGAATTTTGGGTATAATTTCTGTAAACTTGTAAAGGTTCTTATCGCAGGGCTTTCTGCTCTTAAAGACTGACAGCATCTCCTGCTGGTATAATGTTAATTAACCACAGCTATTGTAGTTGTTTCATTGGTTTTGGCATTCATTTTCTTCTACATACATATACGTATGTATGTACATCCTTTGTATCCATATTGAGGTATTTACATCTCCTCTTTTCTGACAGGCCAAAAACAGAGAACCATTTTTATTATGCGCAACGAAATTAAAAATTAAATTTTCTGTTCGTGTTGATGCTGATCTCTCTGGGCACGTCCTGAGAGCCTGGGTCTCGGGAGTTGGGGGGTCTTCGGAGGGCACTGGCCCTGAGCATTGGGCCTGCCCCTAAATGCGGCAGTAACAACAATCAGTGTTGGGGGAGGGTTGGGTGGCAGTGGATGGGGTTCGCATCCCCCTGGGCGATGCGGCAGAGGGAACAGCGCAATTTGCGAGCCGCAAAATGTCTAAGGTAATCACTTGCCGCAAATTGTTGTTGTTCTTCTTGCCCCAACTCGAGTCGCCTACCACTCCTCCCCGCTGCTACTGCTGCTCCCGCTTTTTGTTGTTGTTGTATTATTATTGTGCATTATACGGAAATTGACAAAGAAATTTTTTTGGTTGGCTTGAAAATAGCAAAAGAAAAACTGGGAAAAGGCAACAGGAAATTCGACTTCGAATGCCACTTGAGAATTTAATAAAAAGAACGAAAAAAAACGAAGGGGAGTGAAGGCAAGAAAGGGACAGACCCAGAGACGCAGTCGGAGAAAGAGACACACACACAGGAGGAAGTTGGAATTGTTGTGCACAAGTGCCGGTTAAATATTTTAGGCAAATGCCTTGGCCCGCTTGGCTCTGTATCCGACTCCTCCATGGCCAACCCTAGGCTGACGAGTTGCCAGGGCAAAATAAATCAGCTGGGGCGTAGGCACTTGAGTTGATTTATGGCCATGACTGGCGGGGGCTAAAGCAGAGGCTGAATCATCAGGTAGGGATGCTCCACTTTCCGAAATTGCTTCGAGCCGAGCTCTGGAGACAGACTCCGTCCCCAGCCATTGACAATGGCTGCCGGAAGAAACGAGGGGACCCAGACCTGAGCCCTGGCGCACTTGGGGAGCATTTCAGCTCGTTTTGAAGTTTGAGCCTCTGCCAGAGAAAATAAAATGAATAAAAAACGAATCTCGAATCCGAGACAAGAACTCTCCGCCCTAGCTGCAGTTCATCAGTCAGCCGGCCAGGTAGGCAGACTGTCATTCAGTTTGTCATTCAGGCACTGCGACATTTAGTCAATCTGAGCACTTGTCTCTTATGCCACTTGAACCTAAAAATTGTCTTTGATATTTGGCAGACATTTCTGGCTTCGTTTTGCACTTCAACGTACGAGCATTTGTCTGCCTTACTCCTGCCGCACTCGTAGCCTTCTTTGCTACCAATTTTGCACTGTCCGCATTTTAATTACACAGACATTAAAAATATATATACAGCAAAACGAAATTAATTCTTGGGCTGGCCTGAAAAGGTGGCCAGGCCAAGGTACATAAGCCCACAAGCTGTCGGCACGTGGACAAACTCGAGCCGAAGCGAAATCGAAGACAATCGCAAGAAGAAACGCACTTGAAATACGCTGCAGATAAGAAAGTCAAAGTTGGGGGATGTAAAATGAACAGAAATTAAGTAGACAAGGAAATATATAGGCAAAATATTATTTCTGATTACAAATGCAAATACAAATAAATATAGTATTAAGTAAGGACAAGTAACTGCAACTGGAGGCTTAAAAAAATAAATTTTAAACGTTAAACAAAATGTATAAATTTGAATTCTTCTTTCTCTCATCGTGCCACCAATTTGAGCACTTCCTCCTATCAGAAATACTCTCTGGTAGGGCATTCAGCATATTTATGGCTGCAATTAAACTTGAATGTGTTTCGTGGGCCGCCAAAAAGTAGACAACACATTTTAATGAGCCATGCGCCCTAAAAACCGAGCCAAATACTCGTATAATTAAAACAGTTGAGTTGTGTGCTGCAGGAGTGGGGGGCGCTGTGTTTAGGCAGGGCTTAAGCAATAGAGAAATTGGACCAGCACTTCCCCCAAAGCGCTATTAGAAGGGATAATGGTATGGTGGCCGTGCCACAAAGATCATTTAAGTGCTAATATTTAAGTTGGAGAGGATTAGAGAAGCTGCAACTAAAGGGGACACTCACACCTTTGCTGGGACAGCAACGAACCAGGAAAAAATTTCATTACACTAATGTGTTGCACGTCACATCAATGTCAGCCGGTGTGCACTCTAGATGTGGCAAATGTGAGAATCGGAAACAAGCTGGATGCGGATGGCGGTGGCCAGGACATGGCAGGACCGGGATCTAGAGCAGGACGAGTGCCTGGTGCTGGATGTCGCTCAGGATTCTTCCCGGCTTGTTGTGACTGCAACGTGCCAACAGCAACAGCAACAATGACAATGACAGCCAACCCACAACTCCCCACCTGCTGCATCACCATTCCCCTTTTCATTCCCTCTCACACTCTGTTTAGTTCTTTCTTTGTCTTTTGCTATACATCTTCGTCATTCATTGCAGTTGTCAGCCCCCAACAATGCCATGCAAAATGCCACAACCCGACTCTGTCTGGCTCCTCAGCCAGTTACACCCCATCCAGAGTGATGCATTGTTGTGCCACATTTCTATACCCTCGCATGGAGTATTGTGATTTTAGCCAGATGATGCACAATAGAAAAAAAAATCTAGCACAATAGAATATATTTTTTTTGGATCGATTGCAATATCAAGAAAACTTTTATGTCGACTTAAACTCAGATAGTAATTTCTTAGCTTCGCTTTCTGCTGATAGAGTTTCCCCCGATCCAACTTCCCATTCGCATCTTAGCCCATCATCACTTTCGAAATCAATGGGCTCCAAGTGCTTTCGTCTGAGCTTTACTCCAGTTCTTGGGTTTTTTTCTACCTTTCGCGTATCATTAAATGCTTTATAGAGCACACACGAGGGATCCGGCGGGTGGCACACATATATGTACGTAGGGTTCCGTTTTATATTGGCAGGGTCACTGCTCAGACAACTGGACAATCCGGCCAGAAGGCAGAAAAACATACCCATAAATGTGTTCATATCGTCTCAGTTGTCCATGGATAAGTTGTGAACTCTTTTCATGATATATCATTGGTAACGCCCCCATGCAGAGCGAATTGCATCATTTCTAGATACGCTGGATTATATTCCGCTGCTGTTTTAATGATTGTTCCCTCTGCCGTTGGAGTATTTTTAAGGATGCTCTGCTACTAAATAAAACCATAGAAAATCAATCATTTGTTGCTGAAACATGGCCTGTCTTCATGTAACAGAATTGTGTTTCCTCCCACCAAAATCAAAACATCAAATTTATGGCTTTAGTTGAAAAATTTTTGCTTTGATCAATTTATTGCCCGGCACGTTTCCACGCTAACTAACTCAAGCAATATAAGGGGGGCACACGTGTCCCGTTTGCTCGGGCAGAACCAAATCCAATTGAGACCGAAAACTGACCGCTTCTACCGCAACTAAAACAAAAGCGCCTGCCTACCTGGACGGAACAGCAGGTGGATGATGGAGCTCTAGTTGGAGGATGGTGGATGGAGTATTGGAACCACACTGTGTTTTCTTTATGGAGCCACGTGCACGTGCTTCTGGCAGACAGTTGCCGCCGGTCAGATATCCTCAGTTTGCGCTGGAGAGGAAATTCATGGCCACTTAAATGCTGTAAAATAGACCAAACTGCCGGCACTAAAAAGCAAAAGTTGCTCGCTCTCTACAAGAACTTTAGTTTAGCTTTCAGACCCACACACACACACACACACACACACACATACACCTTGGCCACTTTTATGGCTCATCATTTTTTTTTTGCCTCCATCTTGTGCTTCTCTTTTGCTCCGCAGTTTGGGGCAGTTATAAAAAGTTAAAGTTAAACTTTTTCTAGCCGAACGGGTAGCAAGCGGTAAATCAGTTTTTATTGTGCATAAATTAAAAATGTTCAATTAAAAACAGTAGAAAGTAGAAGCCGTAGCCTCTGTGTGTTTTTTTCTCAGGCGCAAGCTCCGGGGCAGGTGGCCCCAGGCTCGGTTTCAGCTTAATTGTCCTCTTCGACTTTGTGTGCCTGGGAAAATAACACATGCAAGCAGAGGAAAGTTTGGCACAAATATCGAATATCGAATGATTATGCAAACAACACCGAGGGGGGTGAAATCGTGTGGAAAGCGAAACTGAGAGCATATGCGGCACATGTGGCTGGCGTATGCGCAATATTCGATGCAGACACAAATGTTCAAGCAATTATTTACACATTTGTTGCACATTAATGCATAATTATTGTCAATAATTAACACAACAAGACAACAATGAATTCTGCAGCACATTACAATTATTTTTTTTTCTGTGCTGTGTGTTCTCTATTTATCGAGTACATTTGCATAATCAGCGGCAAACACATAATATTTTTTCATGATATCCATTATTAATACAGGCCAAAGAGCCCTGTTCTGGCATCCGCCTTTTGTTTGAATGCGTTCATTAAATGTTTTAAGCTTAAAAATTAATGCCATTTGCTTGATTAACAAAAGGACAGTTCTGTGTGTGTGTGTGTGTGTGTGTGTGTGTAGGTGCGCGCATTATTAATAATATTTTTAATGTCACGCAAATGAGATTTTGTAGAATAGCCACCAGCACGCCCGGATATATTTACAAAAGTATGTGTAAATGGCCTCCAACAAGCGAATTATCTGAGTGGAAAAATCGTTAATATCCCAGTTATTTTAATCACCCATAAACCTACTTACAAATAGCGACACATGAACTATTAACTATAGAAAAAATCCCTTTTATTCTCTGTAATTAGAAAAAATTCTATAAGCCTCTTATTTTCCACTTCAGAATTTCAACTTTTTTCTCGACATTTTCGAGCCGAAACTAACAAACTATTTACTTCAAGCTGAATGTCTGTCAAGCAGTCAAATGCAAGCCCCAGAGGCAATGAAAATCAATTTTCTATTCAGCGTGCCACGAAAAAAGGAAAATCTGAAAAGAAAAATACCCAGAGACACATGCCGAGGCGCACACGGAATGATGCCAGCCATCTACATCTGCATCTGCATCTGAATCCGCCGCTGAATCTGAATCGTGAATCGGAATCAGAATCAGATGGAATCAAGGAGCAGGAATCAGCAAGTCGAAGGAATGCCGAGCAATGCAAATAGCTCTAAATGCATTTGACGATGCTGTGATTTGATTTCGATATCCCGGTCGTCTCCCTCTGTCTGTGTGGGCCTGTCTCTCGTATATGTGTGTGTGTGTGTGCGTGTTGACTTTCAATTTCTGTTCGCGAGCGCAACTTTTTCCCTAACTTTGATTACACTATGCTGCCAGGGACCCCCTTTTTGCTCGGTCATTAAGCAGAAAAAGAAGTATCAAATTGCTCTACAAATAAATGGCTGTAGAAAAATAAATATAAATTGAAAAGGGGGAACAAATATTTAAACAATTTCCTTAAATTTAATTATTTTGCTGCACAGTGTTGGCAATTCCAATGCAACGACTTTTTGACTTTTGCAAAAATTGCATTCGAAAGTTGGTAAACTGCTTCTTGCATGCTTCCGTTTAATCATTTTCCCGCCTTACCCGATGCCCGTTTGCCGTGCTTTTGTTGTTAGCTGATTGCTGCGTGCGATAGTAGGGCGGGGTAGTGGGGCGCCTACACGCTCACTTAGCTGATTGCAGTAGCTATCAAAAATTTGCCGGAGACAACGTGTCGTATGCGTGATATTATGTTGGGTCGTGCTCATTCGGACTTGTCTCGAGTGGCAGGGCCATGTGGCCTGCCCTCGCACATCTTCACTCATATTGTCTGTCGCTGCCGGGAAGAGCCTGGCGGAAGGAAGCCAGTCGGAAGGGAGCCTAGAAAAAACTTTGTTAATTTTGAGCAGCTCACGCAATAAAGCAAACGCAGGCAGCGCATCACGTGCGCATTTAAGTTGCAAGTTACAGCGGCAACGTGCCGCATCCAACATGGATACATGGATACACAAACACAGCCAAAGACTCAGCTGGCACAGACACACAAACACACAAACACACACACACGAGTAGTTAGCTCATGTCAGTGTAAATTTTACACGAAGCACACAGAAACCTGATGCCGCATACAAAACTCGCCGAGAAGAGATCCCCCCAGCTTACCCTCGAATTTTCACCTTTTTGCGGTTTATTTTCACGCGCGTGTGCAATAAAAAGATACTCGTATACCTAGGCGGGAATAACGGAAGTCGAGGCAAGTTTTTGGCATCTACAACGGCATAACGGAAAGGGGTCGGCTCACGGGGAGGCAGAGGCACAGGCAGAGGCAGGGCTACCAACCATCGCTGACTGCGCTGCATAATCAGGCAAAGGCGCCGTCGACAACGACAACATTTATCAAATGAAATGCACGTGCCAAGCGCTTGCCTGCCCCACCGTTGCCCCCGACTGGTTGCCGCTTCCGTGTGCCGCTCCTGGCTGTCGGGATAAGGTTCTGGGGCACCGTTCCCATATCTCTTGGGCATAACTTGTACGCGAGGGTTGATTTGGTGGGTTTTAGAGACCATGGAAACTGAAAATGAATATAATGCAAACTGCCCAAGCAACCCTCCATGCTGAAGAGTATCTATCTATCTTTACATAAAGAGTTTATAACTTTCGCATTCGAGTATGGGAGCTAAGTCAGCTGCCAGTTGCAGTTGCAGTGCATCCTCGTAATTATAATGAGCAAAGTTTCGCGCATCGGTTTCTTTTTCAATGAATTAACATAGCGCAGCGATTTGCAAGTTGCCCTGGCCCTGGTTATGGATAGATGAGTGAATGAATGGCATGGATAGTGCTTAAGTGCAATAGGCTCCACTCGCACACAGTCGGCACAGCCAGCTGGCTGTGACTGATTACAAAAATGCTCACATAGTGAGGAGCACACAGTCGACGTCTTCGAGGAGAGAGAGAAATTGCATTCTGCTGTCGTGGAAGTTTCCGCACCTTGCAACCAAGTGGCTGCCAACGATGCTGCTGATTCTGTTGCTGCTGCCACTGTAGCCGCTGTTGTTGCTCCAGCTGCCTAAGTGCCATGCATTGAGATTGAGTTGTTTTCCTTGTAGGAGTGCGATGCCTCCTCCTCCTCTTCTTCCTCCTCAACCTCAACCTCATCTTCTTCGTGTTCGTCTTCGTCTTCATCCTGGGGCCCCATTCATCCTTCCTTGGGCTCATTCCACTCGAGAAAATCGATGATGTCTTGGGTGCTTTTGTTTTTGCAGCCGCACTTCAACTTGAAATGTTTTGATAAACTGGCTCTGGCTATGCAAAGAAGGGTGGCGAACCCAAGCAAGGGAAAGGAAATGCAAAAAGAAAAGAAAAACCCAGGCAACTTTAAGCTGCAACAAAATGCAGCAGAAGCATCAGCAGCAGCATCAGCAGCAGCATCAGCAGCAGTTGTCAAAATGGTTAAGTAACAGAGGTGGAGCCATGGGGCGTGAATGCCAGCCAGAAGAAAGAAAAGAAAAACTTTGGCCAACTGTCGAAAAACAAGCGAAATGAAATTGGTAAAACAATTGTCAATGCGTCAATTTGAATGGATTTCAGTTTGCAGGCGACAGACACATAAAAACATCAGCCAGAACAAGTGTCGAAAGTTTTCCCCCAAAACAAACTTTCACAATTGAGAGAGAGAGTAGTCCCTGACAAAACTAGCTAACTACAGAAGATAGATCCCCTAAGCAGAACTATTTTTGGAGAGATTGTAAGCGAGCAGAGCAGCCCAACCCCCAAATATGAACTTCAAGTTTCCCATATTTTTTATAATATTCAACTTATTGTCTATGGGTGAGTACGCAATGGCAGCCAATCAAATTACTCAACGGAACTTCACCTGCATTCCCAGCTTTGCTGAGCAGCGCCAGCTGTCTGCGTGGCACACGCCACATGTGGCAGTTGCAGCCTACAACAGAGATGGTCGGCTGTAATCGTCCATCAACAATGCGGTCGGAATTCGACGACAATGGAGCTGTTGCTGAGGCAGCAGCAGCACTTGATAATGCTTTGACTTTGGGAAATTTGGTCTATCAATGTGCAGCCATCAACCGTAAGGAGGACCTGAAAGACCAACCAAATGTGGCCAAGGCAGTTGAACAGCAGATCAACTACCCACACAAGATGAACAACACAGAGCATATAAAACGCATGTCTATATAAGACATTTCCACAAGTTTCGTTGTTTGTTCAGAGACTCGTTTTATATTTTATATGTTAATAAAGATTAGAAAGCAAACATCATTTGGTTATCTAAGTAGATCTATAGGCAGCTTGCCCTTGCTTGAGTCTCTTATCTAATTGCATTCTTCCGGGTAGCTGAATCTATTCCAAGCAGTCACCTCAGACCTCCAGAGATTAGTGTGATTCGTTCTGTTATGGCAGCTGCAGCACCCGCTTGGCTCACCGCTAAATATCTGGAAGATGCACTGCAGCGGCACTACCAGGAGCCACAACTTGTGGTAGTTTCCATACAGCTGCAATCAGCACTGGGCAAGGGTGAAAACTATGGAGCCGTCCTAACACGTATACGTCTCGTATACCGCATGGGATCGGGCAAAGAGGTTGAGGAATATCTGATAGCCAAGACAACGCTGGAGGATGAGGATGCGGATACAAGGGAGAAGAAGGCGCCCTACGACATCTACAATCGCGAGCTGGAGATCTATGAGCAGGTGATGCCCAAGCTGCAGCAGCTGGCAGGTGAGCGACTCTGCCCCAAAGTGTTGCACATCGATCGCCAGCGAGGAGCTCTCATCATGGAGGACCTGAGCCAGCAGGGTTATGTGATGGCGCCGCGCTTGCAGAGATTGGATGAGCAGCATTTGAAATTAGTGCTCAGAAAATTGGCCCTGATGCAGGCAGCCTCGGCCGTGCTGGAGGAGAGGTCCCAGGGAGAGGGCTACAGCCTAAGGAAATACGATCGCGGGTTCTTCAATCGCTATACCGAGAGCTTTCGTTCGTATTTCGTGGGATGTCTGATGTCATGTGCCAGCTACCTTAAGACCCAGCCGGGCCATGAGAAACATTCTGAATTGCTGGAGAAGCTCTCGCCGCATTACATGAGACTGGGATTGCTATGCTTTCAGCCGGAGGCCGAGCACATTAATGTGCTGACACACGGCGATGTTTGGACAAACAACATGATGTTCAAGTACGGGGCCGAGGGGCCAATCGATGCGCTACTGATTGACTTTCAGTATGCCTTCTGGGGCTCGCCCACGCTGGACATTCATCATCTGTTGAACACCTCAGCGGTGGAGCGGGTGCGAAGTGAACGACAGCTGGCGATGAGATGTGTTTACCATGAGGTGTTTGTCCGGGAGTTACAGAGGCTCAAGTTCAATGGTCAGAGATTGCCCAGCCGGAAGCAGTTCCATTTGGAATCGGAGCAGAAGCGTTTCTATGGTGCGACTGATGGGTTATTTATAAATGATACAAATGATTAAGATTATGTTTACCAACAGCTGTCCATTGTGGCCTGCTGCTGCAACCTGTGCTGCTCAACACGGATGATAAGGATGCGGATTTCGCCGCTCTGCTTTCGGATCAACCTCGTGGAATGAACATGAAACGGAGGCTGTACCGCAACGAAGCCATTCAAGGATCCATTAGGCAACTGGTTACACAATTCGAGCTTGAGGGACTGCTAGACCCGCAGCAATATGCTGGATGGACTTAGCCCTAATGATGCGGGTTCCTGTCCACGTTCTGCTTTTGATAAACTCCCACCAGTACACGTTTCAATTAGAACGGAGGCTAATAAACATAAGGGATGCACACACCGGATGGAAGATACAGCAACAGCCACAGCCGCAGGCATTTTTAAAGCTTTCCGCCAGAACCTCTCTGAATTATGAGCAAGAAAAACAAAAAGCGAAAACATATTCAGCCAGGCCAAAACAAAAGCGCAACACATTTAGCCAGCAAATGGCAAGAAAGAGGCAGCAAAAGAGCGAGACAACCAGAAAAGAGGGCCCCGAATAGTTACACACATTTTTTGAATTGTTTAGCATTTTTGTATGAGTAAGTGAGTGAGTGAGTGTGAGTGTATGAATGAATGAATGGACGCTGCACGGAGGACTGTGAGGCGAGAGAGAGAGCTGTGAGTGCGTGGCTGCCACAGCCAAATGGGAAATGGAAAATGAAAAGAAATGGAAATGAAAATGCGGATGAGAGAGAGGGGAGTGTGGCAAGCACGTGCTGCTGGCAATGGGCTCTGGCTTAATTAAAACTTTAGTGCGAAATGCCAGCCAAGCTGTTGGAAAATTAACAAAATTATGACGAGTCTCTGGCGTCTGCCTCTGGCATTTGCTGCCCTGCCTGCATTCCCATTCAAAAGTGCATTAAAGCTGGGCGCCATTAGGCTAAACTTTGCCATTTAGCCTGGAGGCCTGTCTGCTGCTGCACCTGAAACTAGGCGGCAGGCAGTTTAGGCATAAAGCACGACAGAGACAGCCATAGAATGATGGACAGAGAGAAGACCAACCTGCAGAGACAATAGAAAATGTCGAGCACGCTGCCAAAGTCGAAGTCGACGGCGGCCCGGGCCCAGTAACATTTCACAAATTCCATCTAAGCCTAATGCATGCCATTTAACGATTTTATTTCTCTGTGTGTGTGCGCGTGTGTGTCTGGGTGCTTCGGCATGTGTGTGTGAGCATCTGCGTGTGTGTATGTGCCAGCGCTATCTCACTCGGAGATGTCCTCAATGCGACAAAAGTGTCGCGCGTAAAAAGCAGCCCCGAACCAGCTTTGCTTCTCTCTCAGTTTTGTTTATGGTCTCCCTGTCGCTGTCTCTTTCTCTTCTTTATGTGCATGTGTTTATACGTGTGTGTGTGTATGTGCTGTCATCCTCGAGGCAGGCAATACAAACAGATACACACACAGAGCCACCGAGAGGCGAAACTCACGTCAAACATTTTAAGGTTTTTAGGTGCTCGACTTGGCTCTGCTTTAAAATGGAACCAACAAAAATCTGAACAATTTATGCACTTTGGGAACATTTTCACATTTTCCCTGTGGATATTTGAACAAATTTTCCATGGCCATGCAAAGTGAAATTATTTTTACCTAGAATATTATATTAGGATTGTTTTTTTTTTTTTAATGATTTTTTCATAGCCATTTGTATGTTTTCCCCTTGCTGAAACAATACAAAGTCATTTCACACTGTCTATTTGTTATTTTTAGCTCCACTTCTTCTTTGTTTATATATTTTACAATAGTGTTAAATTATTAAAATGAATTTTATTAGAGTTTTAGCTCTGTGAAAATTGTTTTGCAATGCTGGTATCTTTCTGACTTTCGATTCCAGTCAAAAATAGATACGAATTTTATGCATTATACACAGCACACAATTATCTCATTTTTTTCTATACAAAAATTACCATTGCAATGCCAATTTTTTATTAAGAAAATGTATTTCCATTTAAGCCAAAAATTGGATTTTATAGATAAAAACTTCGGATTTGTCCGTAAAGCAGCTGAAAAAAGATAAAAATAGAATCAAGGATGGTCCTGGGGCGTGGCTGGGAGAAATATTAAAATTGTTCAGCCGGGGGACAGGATTTATTTTCTTAATCCAAATAATGTCAAAAAGCCACAAACAAGCGACAGCCACATAAAACAACTTAGCAAATGAGCACACAAACACACACCACACACACACCACAAACACACACACACACACACACTCGCACGAGACAGAGTCCGAGGGAAAAACCAAAGAAAAATGTAATTTATTGTTATTACGAAAATAAATAAGAAAGGCAAGACACAGCAGAAAGCAGAGCGAGAGAGATGTATAACGAGAAGGAGGGACATGCCACACCCACCACACATACTCGGACAGCAGTGCAGCACTGAAATTGTGGCAAATAAAAGCGTAGAAATTAAGCAACTGACCGCTGGCAAATAAACCCAAAAAGTACACAAATGGACACTGAGACAGAGTGAGAGAGAGAGCGAGAGAGCAAGAAATGGCAGTGGCAGCCATTTTATATGCCATTACATTGTAAATAAAGTATTGTTTATTTGTACATGCATGTATGGATGTGTGTTTATGTGTGTGTGTGTGTGTGTGTGTGTGAACTATAACATGTGAATTTATGTGCAGCCAAAGTTGTGCCACATCCACATTTACTCAATAACCTGAAGCCAGCCCTGATCCACTTTTACGAGTACATGTACGAATATATGTTCGGGGTGTATCTGTGTGTCCCCGCGGGGACCCGCGTACCGGGGCCCCGGTACGGAGCTATGCAACCAAATGACATTATCGTTAGTGGAACCAGCGCCCGCCCATAAGTAGGCAACACTTAATCAATCCCGGATGGTAGTAGTAGATCCCTAGTTCTTAATCTAATCAACCTGGAGCTGGTTGGAACTGCGACCTGGTACATGGGGATAAGAACATAAATCAGGCCCCAAAATTTTCCTAGCAAATTGCAAAAGTTCCCCACCAAATGAACACTCCATCAATTGCAACTGTAGCTTGGAAAAACTGTGGTGCATATTTGGTGCGAGGCACCAGCTCGATTGGCTTTGGCCCGAAAATTTCAATTTATCTGGTACCAGTCGAGGCATCGTCGTGGCCCAGGGACGGTTTAACCCTTCGGGGTCAAGTGTGAGTAATTACCGCAGTTAGGCAGCCTGGAACCTGAGCAGCAAATGAAATTTCCATGAGCCAAGCGACTGGCTGGACGCAAGGCCGAGGGTCCAAAAGGCAAAAGGCTTTAAAAATAGCTGCCTCCAGTTGGCCCATACAGGCGAGAGCTAGCTGGGAGGGTGGGCCAGCGTGTGGGCGCTGGACGGAGGTCAGGCTACAGTTGACTAAACATTTTCATTTCGTTCTTCTCTCTCTGGCATGGTCTGCCCTGCGGGAGGTGGTGGTAGCTCCAAGTCAATGAATTTTGGCACATGGCGTATACTTGATATTGCGTGTCCTTCCCTGGTGGATGCTGCTGTTGTTGTTTATTTTATTTTCTGTGCTAAATGATTTCATTAAGTGCGAAGACGAACACGCTGGCCAATCGATAAGCTTGCCCAGCACTTACGAGCATATAGGAAATAAATGGCAGAGGGCAGGCCCAAAAAACTTTGCACTCCAATTAGCCCAGGCATTAAGTTCTTATTCCTATTTCAATTGTAATTGAATCTTGATAACCGAATTTTGCCAATTAAGGCCTAAGCCGGACAACAGTTGGAAGTCAAACGTAGACACGTAGGTCGTTGCACGGGGCGACAAAAGAAAGGCGAATTACATGTCAAGCAGAACTGTAATTTATTCACTGGAGAAACTGGAGGATCAAGCAGAAAAACAAAGGAATGCCCGCCCCCACATAATGAATGGCAAACAAAAGCATTCTCTTAGGCGCCGCTGCAGCTGTCTGACATGGATGTGTGTGTGTGTGTGCTCTAGTGTCAAAGTTCAAAGAACGCGGAGCAAAAATTAAAACGGATTAGTTGGGCAGCGAGACATGAACCATGCCATGCTCCATCTTCATTCCATACCCAGCAGTGGCAGCAACAGTGGCAGCACCAGCCCAGCACCAGCCCAGCACCAGCCTGGGGCGTCAAAGGGTAAGTCTATAATTGCATTAGCCAGTGTCTGTGTGGGACTAGGCCCAGGCACAGGGATCCAGAGATTAAACCATCGTAAGCTGCCTGCCCCAGAACCAGGGCTCGGACGTTCCGTTTATTGAAAACCTATTACATTCTGTCTCTCTATCTCTCTCTCTCTCTCTCGAGGCGATCGAAATTGAAATGGGAATTTTACTTATTTGTGCACACACGAATAAATGCCATATAAAATTGACTAAATCAATGGCCAGTGAACCTAATTGAGTTACTTGAAATTGATTTAGTTGACAGACGAATATCCAAAATTCCATTGGAGCCATGCCTGAAAGGAAAACTGTGGCAGGAGCAGCAGAATTTAATTACTCGAATATGCACAGAAATTTACGCTATGCATTAAATATTTTATCACATAAATGTCGTTTGACTCCAAATTAAATTAAACATAATTTTTAATGTGACTATGATTATTTAATGTATAATTTATAATTTTTGGCCCTATGTCATAAAATAGAGACAAGAAACTGTTAAAAATATTATTATTATAATTATATAAAGCTAATAAAAAGTTAAAACAAAATATTGGTTCGTTAAATATATAAATAGAACCCTTAAGAGAATTCAATAAAGAGAATGTTATATCTCTTTTTCTGCACCATCGCTCTCTCTCTAGCTGCTCTCTCAATCTCTCTCTCTCTCTCTGCACAAAAGCCCTACAGCTTTTTGCTCTCGCTCTCACTTTCATTCTCTTCACTCAAACAAGGATGCTGTGAGCCAGCACTCAAAGCTCTGCCTCTCCATTGAGTTGAGCGCAACGGCGGAACTCTGTGCTGAAGTGAGTCCCCGGCATTGAGTGGCCATCGAGTCAAGCGTTTCGCACTTGATATCCCTTTACATTACTCGTATCCCTCTTCACCCGAAGTTCCCTTCTCGGTCGCTTTCTCATCATTTATTGCTTCTTCAGTGTCCCGTGTTGTTGTGTGCAATTCCACTTGGCTTAAATTTCATTTTCCTATGTCTTTAGCATTAGCTAGCACATTCCTTCTTCGGAAGCTCCTCTTTTTCAGCTCTGTTTTTGTTGCCACTTCATTCTGGCCCAAAGCAACGATAGCTGGAGAGCGGGCGAGGGGAGGGTAGTCTCTCCATTTGGCCTTTGTTTTTTATCTTTCGAGCATTACTCTGTTTGCCCTGCCTTGGATTG